TGGACCTCTCTCAGAGGAAAAGCAAGTTTCTGAGAGAAAGAGGAGTAGCTTACAATTTTAGTGGAAGACTTTTTTTTTTTTTTTTTTTTTTTAGTTTTACGTTACTGTATAAAACGTTGATGTGATTTGAAAGCTCTGAATTACAACTTTATCACACAACCACATCATCTTTCTTCTACCCTCTTCCTTCCTCCTCACTATCATGGCTGCGTGTCCCCTTCCCCTTTTGCTTCCTGGCTGGTGACTTTGCCTTCTTCAGGGCAGCCCCCCATCCCACCAAAACCCAAGAGCGCGGGCTGCTGCTGCCGCCATCACTGCAAAGCGATGGCCCTTGAACATCCTGCGTGAGAGCCGAAGGTGTTGGCACTGCAGGACTGACCCCTCGCGTGCCAAAAGGAGCTGCTTTAGTCCTTCAATGGCCCGCTGCGAGAGAAACCCAGAAGATGCCGTGAAATGTGTGGAGGAGCAAGCAGTAGCCGAAGGTCCCCCAAAATGGGTAGGAGTATTCCTGCCCTGGAGAGCTCCACGTTGCCAGAATAAAGCCTTAAAGCCTCATGGACACAGGGCTCTACAGCATTGTAAGGATGAGCGTGGTCCGACCTCCCTTTCTATATGCTCCTATGGTTTCTCACTGCCGCGTATGCATCTGCTTTGGTGTCCATAGTTTGCCCACTGCCATTTGATTGTCCCTGCCTTGAGTGAGGGGGCACTGACTCCCTGATTGCATAGCACATTGCGCCTCTGAGCTGGTAACCTGACAAAAGCTGCTTTTCCTGAAACAGTAGGCAGGCAGGACACCTCTAACCAAGCCCAGACTATTTCTGGTCATAAGTGCTGTCACGGGCCACTAAATGAGGCTGAATTAGACAACCCCGTGGTGCTGCCCTGTGGCTCCTTGCACATCCAAGTGGGAATTTGATCCCTACGTTATCGAAGGGCTACATAACATAGAGAGGTGTTCACAAGGGGCTGCAGCCCTTCTCCCTCCTGTCCCACAAGGGGAGAGCTCAGGTCTTCCCCTCACAAATCCATGAGTCCATCCCAGCCCCGCTGTTTTTCCTGGTACCATTCTCCAGCATCCATCTGTGTTTCACTCGCAGGCCGCTGGTACCAAGGAAGTCGCTGCTGATCAATGTACATGTCAGCACTTAGTCACGAACGCGCAGAGGTGTAGGAATAGTTTGCTGGTGCTACTGCGCCAGTCATCTCATCCATTTCCTGGATGTTGTATACCAAAGTGTGAGATTTGAAGGGTCTGAGTGGCAACGTATAGCAGAGATCTTTATTATTTTTCCACGGTACAGTGGTAGGCATTTGTGCTGATGTAAGATATAGCAAAAATAGCGTGGGGGAATTATAGCCCTGAGAGAAATATGTAAATATCTGAATGCATTAAAAAAAAAAACCCTGTTTACACCCAGGGTTTGTGCTCTGATTTTACTCTGGGCTCTTTTTGTGGTTGAGGGGTAAAAGCTAAAGGGAATGAAGGGTGATGTTTGTGCAGACCCAGCTAATCAGAAATAAGGTGTGGGGAAGATTACGTGGGGAATCCAAAGGCGCGGCTTTTTCCCAGTGGCTGGTGTTAATCAATAATACTGTAAATTCAGCTTCTGAGCTGGCTGTGGGGAGCAGCCTAGAAATTACGTCACCTCTCTTCACGGTCTGCTGGTCAGATGTGACTGCTGAAGTTTGAATCTTGCCGCTTGTGTTGGAGCGTGACCCTCCCGAATAAATAGGGGTGTTTCTTCACCTGGTTCCTCAGACCGCCTCTGGGGCTGAGCCTGCTGCCAGGATGCGAGCGCCGGCTGGGGTGGGAACAGGAGCCCCCCTGCTCTCATGGCTGCTGCTGCTGCTGGTCATGTCCTACTCAGCCCACACAGGTGAGCTTTGGATGTCCTTGCAGAGACACCCACGGCCGTCAGCTCCCAGCCTGCCGTGGTCCTCGCGATGGGTCGGCATCACCCGCATCCTGCGCCGAAAGGGGCTGGAGGAGGCTGGGACTCCTCCTGGCTGTTTAGCCCAGGGTTTTTCTCATAGCCAAGGAAAGAGAGCGACTGTCCTCCTTTGCTAGGACCCTACGCAGCTTTCAGGAGCTGTGTGAGAGCAGGGTACTGAGATAGAGGCACTGCCTGTTATCATGGTACCTGAATCGTTGTTAGTGGAAGCACAGAAAGGGGCAATTTCTTCAGCTCTTGAAGAGATTCAGAGTTGTTTTGTCTCTAAATGATGCTGTTTGTCTCTGTAAGCTGCTACCTTCTCTCTCTCTCTCAGCCATCCTGGAGGTGAACGGAAACCTGAACTGTAGGTGTGTAAAGACAACTTCAGACTACATCAGTCCAAAGAGATACGAAAGCATTGAGATAAGACCTGTGGGAAGCACGTGCAGACGTACAGAGATCATGTAAGTGCTGCGGGTGGCTCGCGGGGCAGAAAGCTGCTTTCTCCTCCAGCTCCTGCAGAGCAGCGGGGCCAGCACTGCACCTTTCCTTCTGCAACCACCCTGCTTCTCCTCTTCCTTGCTGAAAATGAAAGCTTTTCAAAAATGCCAGCAACCTCACTGGTTCTTTGGGTCTGAGGAACAGCAGGTCACCTCTGATGGAGGAAACGCACCCGAGCCAACCTGCCAGAGGTCCCCAGGACCTAAATGAACCTTTCCAGCAAGCATGATTGCCTCATACTGGTGCTAAGCAGGGAGCGTGCTGGTGAGGGGTGTTTGCAGTTCGGAGGAAGCACGTTCTCGGACACCAAGGCAGGATGAGCCATAACCAATTTTTCCTCCGCCGATACGAGAGCAAACATCTTGAGTATAAGCCCTTATTTCGTTACTCCTGTCCTGACTGCAGCGGTGCGCTGAGCAGAAGTGTAAGATTACTTTAACTACTCAGCTTGTAAATCTACAGAGAAAATTGTCTTTGAACAGTCACCTCTGGGCTTTGAGCACCTCCGCACAGGGACGCGTCGCATCTTGCCTTTTCCTCCCTGTCCCGTGGCTTCCCCCTGTCGCTAGCAGCTTTCTGCGGTCTGCCGGTGCTGCAAATGAAAGCTGAGTCTTGCAGATCAGCTCTGGCTGCTGGAATCCCTGCCTTTGGAGGGCAGGGCAGTGCTAATAAACTCTCCTTGCGTTTCAGAATTAAATTAAAAACCTCAGGGAAGGTGTGCGTGAATCCTGACGCCCCTTGGGTAAAGAAACTGCTGAAGCGTATTGCTAGCACGTAAGTTGCTTTGATGAAAAGCCCTTTGGCTCACGTGGCCCTGGAGAGCATCCCATCGCTTTTTTTGGGGGGGGGCCTGTGTGTGTGTGAAATGGCAGGAGCAGGGGTTTGTTCATTGCAAGTGCGGTAGCGCGTCGGTGCTCGGCTGGGAAAGCCGCCTGCCTTCGTCGTGCCCAGGTTTGTGGCCAGGAGATGTCCCCACAAGTGATGCCTGCCCCGAGGGAATGGCGGTGACTTCCTTCAGTTGGGTCAGGAACTTCCTCCCCTAGGACCCGCTTTTCTCTGCGTTCACATATTTCTCCTCCTTCTGCTTTTCGTAGGAAGAAAAAATAAGTTTCCTGCTAAGGAAGTTGAAGCTCAGAGCCCCAAGACGGGCTGGCAGACGATGCACAGGCGCGCAAACCTGGCTGCTCCTCACTTTGTTCTTGCTTCCACCCCCTTCCCGAAAGCCCTGTGCCCGGCCCCGGCGGCGGTTGCTGCAGGGAGGGCGGCTCGCTGCTGACCCCAGCCCCGCGGCAGGTTCGTGGGGCTGTTTCCCTCCCTGCATTTGGTCCCTGGGTCAGCGTGAATATGAACCCTTCATTTATTTACTTGCCTGTAGACTGCGAAGCCTTTCGCTGTCGGGGGCTGCTCCCGGCTCTGTAGGAACAACATTGCGACTCTTTCCGTGCAAAGCCCTCGTCAACAGAGTGGGCGTCTGGGTGTTTTGTTACGCAACGTGGCGTCTCCTGTCCCGAGAGCTCAAGTCAAATAAAGCTCAGGTTTTTCTCTTCTGTTGTATTTTCCCTGGATCTCCTAGATTCGACGAAACTCGGTAGAGCTTTGATAAACTCCCACCGTCGTAGCCTTCCTGGAGCTTAGTTTGCTGTGATTTGCATCCGGCAATCTTGTCTTGATGCTCTCTCACAGACGAGCTGCAGGCACTAAAATGTGCATTTGAATATACGTCAGGTGAAGTATTTCTCCTATAGGTAGGGGAATGAAGGCAGCACCCGGGTGCACATCAGGCACGATGAAAAGCCCTTTTACATGGAGGAACGAGACAGAGATGAGCAAAGTTTCAAAGTTTTGTCCAAGGTGGCAACAGTAGCTGGGGTGGGTGTCCCAGACCTGAACAGCCAGCAAGGGTCTGGCAGACCCCAGCACAGCCAGCGGGAAGGGTATTTCCTTCCCAACATCACCTGTCATCTCCCTTGGTGCTGATTTGAGGGCATGAGGTTGCTGGCAGGGAGCTGGGTGATAAAGCCAATGCACCCCATATTCCAGTGCCCGTGGTCGTGGTGGGGCTGGGGTTTGCAGGCAGCTGTAAAGCTTTTGAAAGCAGCAAAGACCAGTGTAGGGGACGGCCGCAAGGTCACTTGGCAGAGTTTTGGGATAATCAGCCGTGGGGGGAAAGAGAACAAGCAAACGCCACCAAAGCTCATGCTATGCTGCGCCTTGTGGCGGGGAAATCTGGTTGTAAGAGAAATGAGCAGTATCTGATCACGCAGACAAGCACCCCAAAAAACCTCCAGGCTTGTATTAAGAACAAGCATTGGGGGAAACGACCGATAGCTTTACAAGACCCAGCTTCATAGGAAGGGGAAAACGGATCTGGTTTCGGGAAGCCGAGGCCCCTGCCGAGATGCTTTTTATCAGCGGTGTTGCAAGCTCAGCGAGCGCCGTCAGCAGGGAACAGAGATGGGCAAAAACCGCCGCGACCCCGGGGCCTCCCGCCTGCGCCGCCTCACTTCTCCTATTTTCCGGCTCAAATAGGGTGATGCTGCCAGGGCCGGGGAGGGGTCTGGCATGGCTGTGCGGGCGGTCCTGCTGCTGGGGGTGCTGCTGGCGACCCACCAACCCGGGGACGCAGGTGAGGCTCCCTGTGACCCTGCATGTGGGGCTGGAGGATGCTGGGGGTGGGGGATATGCCATGGGGTTTTCGGAGGTGCTTTCTCCAGGGTTTACCACCGAGGCTCTTCTGCAGTGATCGTGGTGGGACGTGGGGGGGAGATGCGTTACCCAGAAAGGGTTTGGGGGATGGCAGTGGGTTTTCAGGCAGTGAGTGAGCCGTGGCCACGTGCCCCCCTCAGCTCTCCTGGAAGCCAACGGCAACCTGAGCTGCCGCTGTGCCAAGACCACCAGAGCTTTCATCTCCCCGCGGAAATACAGCAGCATCGAGGTCCGGCCGGTGGGGAGCAGCTGCCGGCGCCTCGAGGTTGTGTAAGTAGCTCCCAGAGGGATGTACAAGCCCTGTGCTGCTCCTCTGTCCTCCTGGAATGATCTCAGTTTTGTGCTCTTTTTCTTTATGAGAAGCACAAGGGGGCTCAGCTGCTGGAGCCCCTGCACCAGAGGAGGGGGAAGCGATGGTGCTGAAACCCTGTGTGTTTTGTAGGATTAAGCTAAAAAGCCTGGAGAGCATCTGTGTGCATCCTGACACCCCTTGGGTGAAAAAACTCCTCCAGGACCTCCCAAACCTGTAAGCCTTCCTCCACCCTGAGCAAAAGAAGCTCCCAGCGGGACAGGGGGCGTCCTGTGGGGACCGGTCTTCACACGTTTCTCCCCCCTTCTGCTTTTTGACAGGAAGAAGAAAGAGGCTTCCAACTGAGGAAGCTGCCA